AAACAAACAAACAAACAAACAAACAAACAAACCCAGATAATGCCTTCCAAAAGTGCATTAATTCCATTGCAATTCTTTTCCACAATATAACCTGGAAGAAATGTGCCTTGGTATTTTTAATGCAAGAATTTTCATCATATTAAAAAATAAAACAATTATTAATTAAGCAAGTTTCAATATATGTACCATTGAACCATGAAGTTTTTCAGGGTAAGAATTATTCCTATTGTGTTGTTGATATCGTCTTGGATCCTAATTAATGTTACACTATCATAAGCATTCTCTCAGTAGAATTTTATTTATAGAAAATTGACATCTTTAAAACAGGGATAAACATTTTTCCCCCATGATAAACATTACTGGCTACAGTCTCCAGAAATTTATTCCATAGTGTTAGTAAAATGTCTGGATCAATGTTGAGAGGACATAATGAGCTATAAAAACAAATCAATTTCTATCTTCTTGACCTATGAAAGTTTTTTGTAAAATCAAACATAAGAGAAAATTCAAATTCAGCCTAATATTTAGATATACAGTTATAGTCTCAGTTTAATTATTATATAAATAAAGCATCCTAAATAAACAACTTCCTTTAAAGCATTTTTTCTTTGCGATAAAAGACCAAATGTACTTGTGAATTCATAGACATTTACTTCAATATGTTAGTTTAAGAAACTGTGTTCCATTGTAATTGGTCTCAGAGGCTCTTATATTGCAAAGCAATAAAAATTTAAAATGTTTAGAGAAGTTGGCAAACCTCTTTATAGACAGCAAACTATTTTTATGAACTAACAAAAATATTTCACTTTTATTCAAACTATAATTTCTGACCAATCAAGCCAATGCTGGTCATATAAATTGCTCTCAATTTTGGAATGTTAGAATAAATCTTTGAAGAGACAGATTAACAGACAGGGAGATTATGAGTTAGTATGAGGGTGTGTAAGAAATTCATTTATGAAATGGATTGACAGTGTATCATATACATATTGGTATGATTACATGGAGATATGCATAGAACTTTCATATTTCTTATGCCTTCTTCCATAGCTAAAAGAAAAATGATTCTCCAGTAGTAATGGTAGGAAAGAATTCTTCTTTGAATCTCTAAGTCTTTGGTATTACTTCATATACAGTGCATTACAAATAGCAAGAAGCCCAAGAATAATTTATTTTAGACTTTAATGTACATTTTTTTAAAAAGAATATCTTACATTGCGTAAGAAAAAAACCCTTATAAGTAGTTTAATAATCAAGAAATGTAAATGTCCCTTGAAAGTAGCTCTGTTTACATTCCATATTATGAACCAAACAGAACATTCATTGACCATGTCTCCTTATCACAGTAAGTGTTAAATCTTCAGAGTTTTTGCTTGCCATGGCTTTAGTCNACTATGTCACGGCACACTAGTGTGCCACGGCACAGTGGTTGAAAAACACTGCACTAGAACAACTACTGGATCTTACAAGTCTGAACGTGCTTCTTTCCTCCCTTTTTTAATCATGAGAATTAAGCTGGAAGACATATTTGAAATATATTTATAAATCACTTTCCTGGGCTGGGTTCAATCTTGTTTATCTGAATTGATAGAGGGTCTTCCCTCTGTCCTTCTCACTGTAGATGTACATGTAACAAATGTTTATGCAAAAAATTCCTGCAGTCTTCAAAATTTTTTGATTGATTAGTGCTATCACATCAGTGTCAACTCTAAATAACTTCATATTTTTTTCCATGACAATAAACTCTAGTCTGTTCTTCCAGGTCTTCACCACTGAAGCTAAGACCATTTGCCGTTCTGATGGTCATCCTCTTGATTTCCCTTCTTTTTGTTCCAGCAATAGAACCTTTAGAGCAGGGGTGTCAAACTCACATAGTCACATTGTCATCATGTGACGTATCGGGAATTTCCACCCCCCTTTGCTAAACCAGAGTGTGAGTGTGACCAGCATGTGAAACATCCAGCCCATGGGCTGTGAGTTTGACATCCCAGCTTTAGAGAGTAGTGCAATAATCTGAGACTGATCATTGGTGGCTCAAGAAATTTTGATTTGTTTGTTGATCCATTGATTTTTCTGTTTCATTTTTTTGTATACCATATTCTCTAGAGACTTCTCCAAACCAAAGTTCAGAAGCATCAATATTATTTTTATTATGCCTTTTAAAAGTCCAACTTGCATTTCCATAGAGTTTTGCAGGAAATACTACAATACTATACTATTGTATATATTATTTTGATTTTGAAGGTATATACATAGTATGGTATCTGAGTATCTTTTCCAAGGCTTTCATGTTTAATTTACCAAGTGCTAGTTTGCAGCATTTTTCTTGACTCCTTGATATCTTAATGCTTGAGACAGAAGCTATCCACCACTTCAGTATCTTAGTTGACAATTCTAAGCTTATTGTACCTGTCATTAGTGTGTTCTTCTTTATATTTAATTTTAGTTCAATGTTTCCATCAGTGCTTTTCGATGTAATTATTAGTTTGCAGTTCCTTTGCTTTTATAGCTATCAGAGTAGAGTCATCAGCACAGCACAGGTAATTGATGTTTCTTCCTCCAGGTTTAAAAACATGCTTATTTTAATCCAGTATCAGTTTCCATTAATATATAAGTATTTATTTATATACTTATAAATAAGTAAAGTATGTTCTCTCTGAACTATGGCTTTTGTTCTGTGTATACGTTTTATACGAAGATAACTGGATGTTCTGGATTGCCATTTTTCTAATATTTTCTAATTATATTACACAGTTTGATATAATCAAAAACCTTTCTATTATAAATAAAGCATAAACTTATTTCTTTTGGAT